ACACAACACACACACACACACACACACACACACACACACACACACCTCTTGAGTGACACCCATTATCAGTAACATATAGCAACAAATTAACTAACTGTCAACCCTCCTCATCACTACCACTCTATCTGACCAAGGAAAGGTCTCTCTCCTTTTATCTTCTCTCTCTCCTTCTCTCTCTCTACGAGGAATAAGAAAATAATAAAAAAAAAGTAATTAGTAAAATGAATAAAAATTGAATTAAAAACGATAAAAGTGGAATAGGAAAAATGAATAGAAAAGGAATAAGAAATAAAGGGACTAATAAAAAGGGAGGAGAAGTTAGGGAACGATCCTTCATTATAATGCCTCTACCTTGGATGAGAGAGAGAGAGAGAGAGGGGGAGAAGGGAGAGAGAGAGAGAGAGAGAGAGAGAGAGAGAGAGAGGGGAGAATTGAAGTGATGGGGGAAGGAGGCGGTAGGAGAGACAGTAGTAGTAGTAGTAGTAGTAGTAGTAGTAGTAGTAGTAGTAGTAGTAGTAGTAGTAGTAGTAGTAGTAGTAGTAGTTGTAATAGTAGTAGTGACAAAAAAAGTAGCATAGCGTGAGGTGGCGCTCGAACTGGTTAACTACTTACCGATAAGGCAAATGGTTTCAGCCTTAACAAACAAGAATTTACAGATGCCATTGTTTCAAGGTACGGTTCCGTAGATTTGCCTCCCAATGCGTGTGTGGTTATTCCTATGATGCGATCACGCCATGGTTTGCAAGAAGGGGGCTTATATGCATGAGGCATGACGAGGTAAGGATCCGCAGCAAAATAGTTGAAGGAAACCTGTCAATGAGAACCGACCTCCTTCCACCTGATGGCGAGATCCTCCAACACAGGACTTCAAACACATCTAACAAGCCCGTGGACGTCAGTGCTCGAGGATTCGACGCGGGGACAGCGAGCCCTTCGACATCAGGATTTTGATCCCATGGCTGTTTGTCACCAACCTAGCCTCGATGCTCCATAGGAGGAACGAGAACGACAAGAGAAGGGCAAGGGAGAGAATTCAAAATGTCGATCGCCAGCTTCAATTCGCTAGTGTTCACAACCTCTGGTGGATGGGCCCAAGCGCAAGATGTTTCTACGCCAGACTCCCGAGCTGATCTCGAACAAGCGCAGCCCAGAAGATGTCACAGCCTGATGAGATGTCGACTGTCCTTCCCTTCGGTCGGCTTTGCTCGCCTCAGGGGAACGAGATCCCCTACCCGTCAACTGCCGCAGATATCGACTATGAGGCTACAGTCAATGAATGCCGCACGATCTGCGGCCAACTAATTTAACACAGATAGAAAGTTGCTTATGTATTAGATATTTAATAAGGTAAATAAATGAAACGAAGGTGTGGCTAGAGGCTGAGGCCACGTTAAAAAAAAAAAAAAAAAAAAAAAAAAAAAAAAAAAAAAAAAGTAATAGTAGTAGTAGTAGTAGTAGTAGTAGTAGTAGTAGTAGTAGTCACTGCTTCCGTCACTTTCACTCTGGGATGATAAATTTGTGTACACCAACTACCACTGCTTAGCCTTGACGTCCACAGGTGTACACGTGTGTATGTTTGGTGCTGTGTACATATGTGTGTGTGTAGGTGGTGTACAGGTTCTTTTGTATGTATGTATGTCAACAGAGGCCCAGGTAATAGCACGAGGCCAGAGTCATCTATTGGCCAATCATCGCACTACCCCCACTACAACCTCTATGATTCGTCAGGTATTGGCCAATCATCGCATCTCCCCCCTCCCCACAACCTCTGTGATTCGTCAGGTATTGGCCAATCATCGCATCTCCCCCCTCCCCACAACCTCTGTGATTCGTCAGGTATTGGCCAATCATCGCATCTCTCCCACAACCTCTGTGATTCGTCAGGTGTTGGCCAATCAGGGATCATTTATTATCATTGGTATATAACGCCCCTATAGGCCCAGTTCAGTAAAGACCTTCGTAATGTTATAGTGATTATTATAGTAATTTATCGTATAATTATAGGACATATATAATACAGGTGAAGGTCAATTAGAACACCTCCTTTAAGGTATTAATACACGTGGCTCTATAATACAGTGTCTAATTAAGGTAGAGTCTTGACCTCACTTTAAGGAATATTAACTACACGTGGCTCTATAATACAGGTGAAGGTGTCTAATTAAGGTAGAGTCTTGACCTCACTTTAAGGAATATTAACTACACGTGGCTCTATAATACAGGTGAAGGTGTCTAATTAAGGTAGAGTCTTGACCTCACTTTAAGGAATATTAACTACACGTGGCTCTATAATACAGGTGAAGGTGTCTAATTAAGGTAAGTCTGACCTCACTTTAAGGAATATTAACTACACGTGGCTCTATAATACAGTGAAGTGTCAATAAGTTCAATTAAGGTAGAGTCTTGACCTCACTTTAAGAATACTAACTACACGTGGCTCTATAATACAGGTGAAGGTGTCTAATTAAGGTAGAGTCTTGACCTCACTTTAAGAATATTAACTACACGTGGCTCTATAATACAGGTGAAGGTGTCTAATTAAGGTAAGTCTTGACCCCAAAATATTAACTGCAAACTCACTAGAATATTAACTACACGGCTCTAAATACAGGTGAAGGTGTCTAATGTGAGTCTTGACCTCACTTTAAGAATATTAACTAACGTGGCTCTATAATACAGGTGAAGGTGTCTAGTGGTGACTTGACCCTTTAACCTACAAAGTGTCAATTAAGGTAGAGTCTTGACCTCACTTTAAGGAATATTAACTACACGTGGCTCTATAATACAGGTGAAGGTGTCTAATTAAGGTAGAGTCTTGACCTCACTTTAAGCAATATTAACTACACTTGGCTCTATATTCCTGTAAACAAAATTAATCCATATTTTCCCTTCATTAATCTCTAAATCCTGTTATCTCATTGTGTTATCTGGATTAGCCGTTTCTTGGGGTAACACTGGGTGGATTAGCGTCCGTGTTAATGGCCCTGTATCAACACACTCGGTCCACCATGTTGGTTATCGAAACTGGGCGCTGATTGGATGAGGGGTGATGATGAGATAGCCAGTCATAATTGTGCTAATGTTGGTAAGTTTTTGATTGGCTGCTGTGATGTTTGTTATTTTGGGGATGTTTGTTGTGGTACTGTTTAGTGTGTGTGTGTGTGTGTGTGTGTGTGTGTGGGGGGAGGCTGTATGTGTGTTTGTGTGTGTATGGTTAACTAAGTGAGTGGTCTAGATCACACACACACACACACACACACACACACACACACACACACACACACACCACACACACACACACACACACAACACACACACCACCACCACCCTCAGGTGATAGGTATGGGTCAACCCCTAAAGGCTTTAAAATAAGTCTCCTTGACCATAGTATGGGCGTAACGTGGGCGTGGGCGAGGGCGTTCAAGGTCATCATTACATTGTTGGGTGGGGTGGTTGGGGGGAGAAGGCGGTGGGGAAGTGAGGGGGAAGTTTTATATTATCCATTTAAGAAATATATTTATCCTGTATGTCGTCAGGTGTGTGTATGTATGTCCTCTTGACTAACTTCCTTTTGGGGTGATGTGATGCTTCCGTCCTTTCTACCCACACACACACACACACACACACAAACACAAAAACAAACACACACACACACACACACACACTCACTGGATTTTACCGTCACACATTACAAATCACGTGAATATAAACTTAAAAATAAAACACATGAGGAAACACACTTACTAGGGACCTTGTTGTAATAAATGACTCATCGGAACATCCCCGAGTTACTGGATCCCTTTAATGTCACAGTAAAACCTAACCTAACCTAACCTAACCTAACCTAACCTCCCAACCCACCTAACCTAACCTCAACTAACCTACCTACCTTTAACTTCAACCTAACACTCACCTACCCTAACTTAACCTAAACCTAACCCTAACCCCTTCCTAGAACTCTCCTTCCTGGTCTTCTGAGTTCCGGTTAAGTTAGGTTGGAGTTGGAGACCAATTGGAATAGAGACAGATGGGATGGGTTAGGCAAATAGGATTTAAGATAAAGGTTTTAGTTTGGTTTAATTAGTGCACCTTTACCTTCACACCTGTATATTACCTCCAGAAGCTTCCTGTCTGTCTGTCTATCTTTCATTCTTTCTGTCTACCCGTGTGTCTGTGTGTCCGTCATCTCAGCAGCACGACACACCTGGGATCTCTGTGTGTGTGTCATGGCGGCCGGATACAGCAATAATTTCTTGGTAATATTTCTAGTATAATGTTACGTAGGTCGAGAGGGAACTCCTTCTACTATATATAAATCATGTTACTGTTTGTCTGTCTGTCTGTTTGACTGGTTGGCTGGCTGACTGACTTTCTGACTGGTTGGCTGGCTGACTGGTTGGCTGGCTGACTGACTGGTTGGCTGGCTGACTGACTTTCTGACTGGTTGCCTGGGCTGCTGGCTGGCTACTGTCTGTCTGTCTGACTGGTTGGTTGGGTTGGCTGGCTGGCTTTCTGTCTGACTGGTTGGCTGTCTGTCTGTTGTTTACTTAGATCTCAGTTGTCTACCATAATGGTTACTGTGTTTGTGTTTGTATTAATGTGTAGTTTGTTTACTTACTGTTTGTTTACCTCGTATTGGTTGTTTATTTATCTTGTACCTTATTCACTTGTGTTAATGTTTATTATCTTTGTGTTTAGTTTATTTGGTGTTCTTTTGTTTTGTTTACCTGGTGTTTGTTTACCTGGTGTGTTGTTTACCTGGTGTGTTGTTTACCTGGTGTGTTGTTTACCTGGTGTGTTGTTTACCTGGTGTGTTGTTTACCTGGTGTGTTGTTTACCTAGTGTGTTATTTTACCTGGTGTGTTGTTTACGTATCATGGCTCAGGGTACAACAACAAGTACACACGTCATGTGGGTTTTTCCTTGTTTGGAGTTACTGATGTTCAGCTGTCATGTTGCTGGGGTCAGGGCCCCTGACCCCCAGTCCTTCTACCCGCGTCAGGGCACACGTAAGGGGTGTCACGCCCCGGGGGTGGGCGCCGGCGTCGAGAAGAGCCCAGGGAAGGGTAACACGCCCCACCGAAAGGAAGTAGGACATATTTTATAGGGAGAAGGACCTGCAGGAGTCGCCGTAGGAGTTGCTGAACAGTTTAAGAGCAACACAGGATGTCGGCGAGCAGTTAGTGTCAGTGACGCCACTAGCGGATATGCAGGGGTGACGTCACCAGGAGAGTGCCATCCCTTGACACAACACCATCAGCCTTCAGTGTCCCTCTGACCACCTTGGTCCTCACCACGCTCACCTCCCGCTAGTGTGTGCACCATGAGGCCCTCACACCTCAAGTGTTAACTCTCGAGGAGGAACTCAACTTAGATAGTGCGGGTGTACAGTGTAGGAGATGAGGTGTCGTCACCATGCCCAACATGAACCTCAAGAAGCTGTGGAAGAAGAAGAGTGTCACCATCACTGAGTATGACCCCACCTACAAGGTCGTATACCTGGGTAATGTCCTCACCGGCTGGGCCAAAGGTAAGTTATCCCTTCACCTGGTTACCTGTGTTCGCCTCTACCTGTCACCTGGTTACCTGTGCTCGCCTCTACCTGTCACCTGGTTACCTGTGCTCACCTTTACCTGTCACCTGGTTACCTGTGCTCCTTTACTACTGTCACCTGTTACCTTTCCTTTACCTGTCACCTGGTTACCTGTGCTCGTCTTTACCTGTCACCTGGTTACCTGTAGTAGCCCACACCTGTCACCTGGTTACCTGTGCTCCACCTTTACCTGTCACCTGGTTACCTGTGCTCGCCCTTTACCTGTCACCTGGTTACCTGCTCATCTTCTGCTCACCTGGTTACCTGTGCTCGCCCCCACCTGTCACCTGATTTTGTGCTCGTCTTTACCCTGCACCTGATTTACCTGTGCTCGCCTTTACCTGTCACCTGGTTACCTGTGCTCATCTTTACCTGTCACCTGGTTACCTGCTGCTACCTGTCACCTGGTTACACCTTGCTCGTCTTTACACCATCACCTGGTTACCTGCTCCTTACCTGTCACCCGGTTACCTGTGCTCACTTTTACCTGTCACCTGGTTACCTGTGCTCGCCTCTACCTGTCACCTGGTTACCTGTGCTCGCCTTTACCTGTCACCTGGTTACCTGTGCTCCCTCTACACCTCACCTGGTTACCTGTATCGCCTTTCACCTGTTACCTGCTCGCTCCATCACCTGGTTACCTGTGCTCGCCTTACCTGTCACCTGGTTTTCTGCTCGCCTACACCTGTCACCTGGTTACCTGCTCGCCTTCCACCGTCACCTGGTTACCTGTGCTCACTCTACCTGTACCTGGTTACCTGTGCTCACTTATTTACCTGTCACCTGGTTACCTGCTCACTTAACCCTGCTCCACCTGTTTACCTGTCACCTTTACCTATCACCTGGTTACCTGTACTCCCTTTACCCACCTGGTTACCGTGTCGCCTCTACCTTCACCTGTTAACCTCCCTTTACCTGTCACCTGGTTACCTGTCCTCACCTTACCCTGTCACCTGGTTACCTGTGTTCGCTTCTACCTGTCTCTCCTAGTGTTTACCTGTTCATATCTGTTCACCTTCTAGAATTAATCAAGTCAGAGGTAAGTGGCTACTACATGCCTGCCTGTCTGTCTAAAAATTCTCTCTGTTTATGTCTGCCTGTCTACCTACCTATCTTCATCTAACTATTAAATAATCTTTCCAACGTACCTAAAAAATAATACTAAATACAAAACAAAAATATCAACAACGAACGCAGAAAAAATGTGAAATTAATAAATACTAAAAAAAAACCAAATAATAAATAAATAAAGACGAAATATATATCAACGAATGTACAAAAAGATAATGTTAAATAAATATAACTAAAACGCAAAATATCAGCCATTAACGAACACACCAAGAATTTCTTACACAGACGCAGAAACAAATGACAATCAGAGAACGTTTACATACCCACGCCACCTGGTGACTCACTTTGACACCCTCTATGTAAACAACGCTTTCTCTCTGTTTGGCCACACTTCTCAGATCTCCCCCAATGTGTGTGTGTGTCATGATTGTTTTAACTCATATTTTGGTGTTTTTTTTTTTTTGTATAGGTGTGATTAAGATGATGCTGTCCTGTATAGTACGTGTTGAGTTGTAAGCCTAACTTGACCCAAACCAAAAACTAACCAAGATCTAACCAAACCAACCCTAACCAACCCTAACCAACCCTAACCAAGCCTAACCAAACCTAACCAAACAAAACACTTTTTTCATTGTAAATAAACCAACTCGAGTCTTGAAATGACACGACAAACACAGACAGACAGACAGACAGACAGACAGACAGACAGACAGACAGTATGTCATAACAGTGCCAACGAGAAGTCATTTTATGTTTTTTGTACAGTGTGTTGAGGTCGTGTTGTGTTCGTGTCTGTCTGAGGTCAATGTTGACGCTCTCAGGGGTCAGGGAGGGTTAAGGGGGTCAAGGGTAAGGGAGGGTTAATGGTCAAGGGGTGTTAGAGTGTGTACAGAGTCCCTTGATGTTTGTGTTTACATGAATATCAATAAACTCTTAACCATGAATATAGGGACTCTGTAAACACAAACATCAAGGGACTCTGTAAACACCAACATCAAGGGACTCTGTAAACACCAACATCAAGGGACTCTGTAAACACAAACATCAAGGGACTCTGTAAACACAAACATCAAGGGACTCTGTAAACACAAACATCAAGGGACTCTGTAAACACAAACATCAAGGGACTCTGTAAACACAAACATCAAGGGTGTCTGTAAACACAAACATCAAGGGACTCTGTAAACACAAACATCAAGGGACTCTGTAAACACAAACATCAAGGGACTCTGTAAACACAAACATCAAGGGTGTCTGTAAACACAAACATCAAGGGTGTCTGTAAACACAAACATCAAGGGACTCGGTAAACACAAACATCATGATTTCTGTAAACACAAGCATCAAGGAACTCTGTAAACACAAACATCAAGGAACTCTGTAAACACAAACATCAAGGGTCTCTGTAAACACAAACATCAAGGGACTCTGTAAACACAAATATCAAGGGACTCTGTAAACATAAACATCAAGGGACTCTGTAAACACAAACATCAAGGGACTCTGTAAACACAAACATCAAGGGACTCTGTAAACACCAACATCAAGGGACTCTGTAAACACAAACATCAAGGGACTCTGTAAACACAAACATCAAGGGACTCTGTAAACATAAACATCAAGGGACTCTGTAAAAATACAAAACATCAAACACACCGTAAAAGGTAATCCTGTGTCATAATTGTCGGTGACGGAAGTATTGTGTGTGTGTGTGTGTGTGTGTGTGTGTGTGTGTGTGTGTGTGTGTGTGTGTGTGAATCACCTACCGTGGGTAACGCTTCTTGGACATTAATGATGACAGTCCGTGTTTCTCCATGTCACCCTGTTGCTTGGCCATGGCCCTCTCCTCCGTGTCTCCCTGTTGCTTGGCCATGGCTCTTTCCTCCTCCGTGCCTCCATTATGCTTGGCCATGGCCCTCTCTTCCTCCGTGTCACCTTGTTCTTTGGCCATGGCCCTCTGTGTTACATTTTAACATGGCCATGGTCCTCTCCTCCGTGTCTTCCTGTTGCTTGGCCATGGCCCTCTCTTCCTCCGTGTCACATTGTTACCTGGCCATGGCCTTCTCCTGTAGCCCGGCCATGTCCACGGCCATCAGCCTTGCCCGTGTACCCACCGACTACGCCCGACTTTCGTCCTTTCGCCCACGGTGTAAACACAACGCCAGCACGAGCGATCAGCAACGCCCGATGATACCATCTCCCTCACAGTGACAAACTTACGCCTGGCGAAGCGTAACTCACCTTCTGCCTACACTGGCGTTGTCTTATAGCACAAGGAATCCCCCCACACACATACACATGCACACACACACACACACACACACACACACACACACACACACACACTCTCACACACACACACACACACACACACACACACACACACACACACACACACACACACACACTCGCACACACACACACACACACACACACACACACACACACACACACACACACACACACACACACACACACACACACACACACACACACACACACACACACACACACACACTCACACACACACACACACACACACACACACACACACACACACACACACACACACACACACACACACGTCAACAACAGTAAGCTTAACTCACCCACAGACAGGGACGCCTTTCCGGGACCCAGTCTTTGTCGAGGTATAGTGCTCAGGTGTTCTGCAAAAGGGTTTCTGTGCCCTTAATTTACCCTTGATGTCCTTAATCACCTCTTACCCTTAATCTGCACCCTTGGTATGCTCCTTAATCCACCCCCTTACCGACTAATTCACCCTTGATGTCCCTTAATCCACCTCTTACCCTTAATCCACCTTGATGTTCATAATCCACCCCTTGATGTCACTTAATCCACATGATGTCTCCTTAATCCACCTGCCCTTAATCCACCTTTATGGCCCTTAATCACCCTTGATGTGCCATAATCCACCCTTGATGTCCTCTGAATCCGCCTTTATGACCATAATCCACCCTTGATGTCCCGTTAATCCACCCTTTGATATCTCCTTAATCCACCCCTTACCCTTAATCCACCCCTTGATGTCCTCTTTATACACCCCTCGATATCCCCTTAATCCACCCCTTGATGTCCCTTTAATCCACCCCTTAATGTACCCTTAATCCACCCCTTGATGTCCCTTTAATCCACCCCTTACCCTTAATCCACCCCTTGATGCCCCTTTAATCCAGCCTCACGTATATAACCCACAAGAATATGCCAAGAAAAACCATTCTGATTCCTTGAACCTGATTGGATGACGGCAAGGACCTCCAGACCAATCACAGAGGAGTATAAAGAATCAACAACATGACGTCATAGATCTTGTGGAAGAGGAAGACAAGATGGCCGTCGATGTTGTGGTTTTTATATTGTGAAAGTCTTGTAGTTATTGGTAGTGAAGGTAGTGTGATGGTGGTGGTGGTGGTAGGGGTGGTAGTGGTGGTTGTTGTGATGGTGGTAGTGGTGGTTGTTGTGCTACAGGTAAGGTAACTGGTGAGCAGAAGGGAACACGTGTCTGGTAAGGTGACGAGCCAGGAATAATGAGAGAGAGAGAGAGAGAGAGAGAGAGAGAGAGAGAGAGAGAGAGAGAGAGAGAGAGAGAGAGAGATGAACTAACTGACCACATACTAACCTAGTGTATACATTTACCACACACACACACACACACACACACACACACCTACACAAACACACATCAATATAATAATCGATATTTTTGGAGTTTAACAAGCCCAACCAAACCCAACCAAACACCAACCAAACACCAACCAAACACCAACCAAACACCAACCTAAACAACAACAATGGCTAAGGCAAGTGTTTATCTTCCGTCACGTCTTGCCAGATATGCCGAGGCCAGTATACTGATAAGGTGTCCTACGTTGAATATTGCTGTGGTGTTTATATAAGAGACTGTACCTGATTGACTCACCTGGGGGGATGTTGTTCCTATGTCTACAACAACAACAATAGCGAGTGTTTAGAAATAACACTTAAAATACGCTTAACATCACTGAGGCACTTACTAACACACTCAGACACACGTTAACACACCCTGACACATAACACACCGGCTCTGACACACTCTGACACATACTTGACACACACTACACATCTTTTTCTGGCTCTCGTGGTCAGCTGTGGAGAGACGGGAGGAAATAGCTTTAGTGACATATGGTAGAGAACTTGACCATATTGTAACTCTCTCTCTCTCTCTCTCTCTCTCTCTCTCTCTCTCTCTCTCTCTCTCTCTCTCTTAATCTAGGTCAGGATGGGGACCAATAACGCTCACAAAACAATACACACACACACACACACACACACACACACACACACACACACACACACACACACACACACACCCTCTTAAAAAATCAATCTTGAGTCAAAATTTAACCTCTAAAGTTGTACCCCACCTTCCCTTCCCTTCTCCCCCCCCTCCTCCCCCTCCTCTCCCCCTCTCCCTACCCCACTCCATCCCCCCCAAAAGTTGACCCCTATAACACCAAACATACCAACGAACCCTCACGTGAACCCCACCCCCTCCCCCCACCACCCACATCCCGGATTCGCCTCACAGTTCAGGGTCAGATGGGTATGGGTTCGTCCCCGCATTCGACCCCGGATTCGTTACCATATTCGACCCCGGATTCGTTCCCATATTCGACCCCGGATTCGTTCCCGGATTCGGCCCCGGATTCGTTACCATATTCGACCCCGGATTCGTCCCCGGAGCGCCAGTTGCGTTCTTTGTGAATATCCGGTACAGCACAACACCCGAACATTTGTAAAGAACGACATGAACGAGAGTAACATGGTTCGAACGTTTTAGAACTTGAGACGGACGAAATCGAACTTAATAATGACTCAAACGTTTGTGAAGGATGGAAACGGGTGAATATAAACTTAAGCGAACGTTTGTGGCGGACGAAATCGAACATATTATTACCCAAACGTTTCTGGAGTCTGTTAAGTAATTTTTGCTTACGTTAGGTTGAATTGAGTTTCCTTAGGTTAGGTTAGGTTGAATTGACCTTAGGTTAGGTTAGGTTGAATTGACTTTCCTTAGGTTAGGTTAGGTTGAATTGAGTTTCCTTAGGTTAGGTTAGGTTGAATTGAGTTTCCTTAGGTTAGTTTGAATTCAGTGTGTTTATATTCCATTCAATTATATCTCATCTCCCTACCTAGTATATTAAGACCTGGTTATTCTTACAGGTGAAGGGTGTGTGGACAAGCCCCTAGCGACACTCTGGAGGAACTACTGTCAGAGTAACCGTCAGGACATTGCTATGAAGGTGAGTACTTACCTCTTGTTTAGACAGTGCCATATGTCAAGGTCATGTCTGGCACTAAACTGTCCAATAGTGCCAAATATCGAGACAGGTTTTGGCACTAACTGTCTAATTGTGTCAAACATTGAGACAATATTTGGCACCAACAGCATTAGTGCCAAATATTCAGGGATTTTTAACATGACAAACGATCCCCCCTCCCCCCTCCCTCCCCCTCCTCCCCTCCTCCCCCCTCCCCTCCCCTCCCCTCTCCTCCCCCTCCCTCCCCCTCCTCCCCCCCTCCCTCCCCTCCTCCCCCTCCCCTCCCCTCCTCCCCTCCCTCCCCTCCTCCCCCCTCCCCTCCCCCCTCCCTCCCCTCCTCCCCCTGCCCCCCAAAAAAAAACCAATACTGACAGTCACTTGTTTTCTTTTCATCTCTTGTTTACACGTCCTTCGGTTTGTTTACCCCGTTAGAGTTCATCAGGTATTCTAAGCATGTGTGTCCATGTGGGAGGGAGGGAAGGAGAGAAGGAGTGGGGGATGGAAGGAGAGACGGAGGGGGAGGGAGGGAAGGAGAGAAGGAATGGGGAATGGAAGGAGAGACGGAGGGGGAGGGAGGGAAGGAGAGAAGGAGAGAGGTAGGAAAGGAAGAAGAGAAGGAGCTAGGGAAGGACTGAGAGAGGGAAGGGGGAGAGAGAGGAAGGAAGGAAGGAAGGAAGGAACGATGAAGTAAATGTTAAGTTATTCAAACAATTCTTAGTCTCATTATTAATACAAGAAATTCGTGGCACTGTTCCTGTTACAATAACCCCTTAGTGCCACTCCTATTATGGGTTGGGTTAGGTTAGGCTAGGTTAGGTTAGGTGGGCAAGAAGGTTTGGTCAGGTTAGATTACATTATGTTAGGTTAGATTAGGTTAGGTTTGGGTAGGTTAGTTAAGGTTAGGTTAGGTAAGATATGGTTAGGTTAGGTTAGGTTTGACTAGGTTTGGGTAGGTTAGGTTAGGTTAGGTTTGACTAGGTTTGGGTAGGTTAGGTTAAGTTCTCTTACCTTACATTACATACAAAAAATTCCCGTCCCATATCTAACTCCTTCGTTATTTTCCAGGTGACGATCTGTAGCGCAGGGTTGAGGGCGGTGACGCAGGAACACGGCCTGACGGAGTACTGGGCTCACAGAGTCACCTACTGTGTGGCCCACCCCAGCTACCCCCGAGTGTTCTGTTGGGTTTACCGCCATGAAGGCCGTAGACTCAAACAAGAACTGAGATGTCACGCTGTACTCTGTCCTAAGAATACCAAAGCTGAGGTAACTTACAGTAGCTAATTAAACCATGAAAATTAACACCTGGGAGATATTTTAACATTAATTAACACCTGGGAGATATTTTAACATTAACACCTGGGAGATATTTTATCATTAATTAACACCTGGGAGATATTTTATCATTAATTAACACCTGGGAGATATTTTATCATTAATTAACACCTGGGAGATATTTTAACATTAACACCTGGAGATATTTTAACATTAACACCTGGGAGATATTTTAACATTAACACCTGGGAGATATATTAACATTATCCCAATTGTTAACTGTAACTGTGGGATACGCCATATATCTTTATCAAGCTTTTAACCATGATACTCTGCTATTAACCTGTAAATACTATTGATTATCCCAGTTAACTTTATTATGCCTTTAACCTTGATTCATTAACCTGTGAATACTCAAAATTATATAAGTTACAATTAAATAATATAAGTAATTATATATCCGTTAACATTTCAATAATTATGTAAGTAAAAATTGAATAATAATATGACTAGTAATTATATATATTCAACATTTCAATAATTATATCAGTGGCAGTGAGAACCTTTAACTTGAAGGCTAAACAAGACATTCAATCAATAATGTAAATTTGTAATTGTTGCATATCTCATTGTGCAATATTGTTAATCTTAGTATTAGTTTTGTGCAATAATGTTAAATCTCGGTGTTAGTTGCATGTGTTGTTGTATTGATCAATGTGTGTGTGTGTGTGTGTGTGTGTGTGTGTGTGTGTGTGTGTGTGTGTGTGTGTGTGTCCTTGAACTGTCTCTCTGTCTGTCTGTAAATGTATTTATTAAATGTGATGGTTGTGACGTTCTCTCTCTCTCTCTCTCTCTCTCTCTCTCTCCCCATCCTTATGTATGTATGCATCTGTTTATCTATCTACTTATATATATATATATATATATATATATATATATATATATATATATATATATATATATATATATATATATATATATATATATATATATATATCTATATATCTGTTTGTCTATATGTATCTTAATTCATCAATCTATCTATCTGTTTGTCTATCTATTTACCTATTTATCTATCTATCTATGTATCAATCTATCGGTCCATCTATGTAACAGTGGTGTATGTGTTACAGGCCATGGCAGCACAGTTGAGAGTTCGCCTGGCATCAGCCTTACAAGAGTTCCGGCGAGAGAAGGTCGTACGGCAGAACGCTCGACTGTCCCTCATGCACGCCATCTACGACTCCGCCTCCATCCCTCGCCGTAAGCTCCTCCTCTCCACCGGGGGCGCCAACTATCGTCCTCCTCTTGAACGATCCAAAAGTGCACCAAAACTCGGGGCCATTGAGGAGACGATAGAAGAAGAGGATGAGGAAGGTCTTGGTAACAGTGATGAGGAGGAGATAGATGAGATTGAGGCAGCTTCAGTACACCTACAGCCCGAGGAAGACGTCGGGGGCTCGAGTACCATGTCAGAGACGACCTCGGATATCGTGGTAGATTATGACTCCAGCAGTGAGGTGGCGAGTGCTGGACAAGACCAATATGTGTTGGAGGAAGAGTATGAGGGTCCACACTTTGCCTCTCCTTGTCACCACTCTGATAGTCTCCTGTACTGCCCGGTGCCTCCTCTCTCACCCTTGGATGATCGACCACAGCATCATCTTCATCACCACCATCAGCCGCTGGGTGTGGTGGAGGAGGCTGGGGATGATGAGGGCACGTGTGAAGATGCCAGTAGTGTCCCAACAACGGACAACCTGGGTTTACTGGCCACCTTAACCCGTGAACTGAGTCTCGCTCCCCCGGCCGAGGAATCTCTCACCTCAGACCAGCCTGAGTCCCTGGGATCCCACTGTGATTCGTGCAGCTCCTCATGTGGTGCCTGTAGTGACCCCTGTGACGTCACTACCGAGCAGGAAAACCTCATGAACCAAAGTGATCACAGGATTAATGAGAGTCGCCTCATTACTGAAGGTGACAACCCGGTGAAGATGGCACGGATGGAAGGTGACAACATCAGTGAAGAAAGTGGTTACTCTGAGGACAAGGACTCACTTCAAAATCTTGATGCAACCAAACTGTAGTGCCCTGTGACAGTGAAACCCGGTACTGTACCTTACCAGTGACTTACCAGTGATTCTGTAGTGTGTGTGTGTATGTGTGTGTGTGTGAGTGTGTGAACCTCCTTCCCTCGTCCAGAAAATATAATCATGCAAGTCCCTTTCCTCTGTGTGAATACAGTTAGGAATGTGTGTGACTCATGTATGGACAGATGTGCTTCCCTGTCACATCTCCGAGGTGGTCTGTGCTTCTGTTACTAGTCCAGAAAACTTTATTATTTACTGAACATCTCGTGAAGTGCTTCTTATAGGGCCACTTGTTGTTAAAAATCTAAGGAATTATGTTGTGATGAAATATTTAATATGTAAAAAAAAATGACTCGATGCTTCCACTCGTAGATGTTTGTATGTGTTGAGAATTAAGAAAACATGATCATAACACAAATCAAAATGCCTTATGCTTTATTCAGTTGACATTTGATGAAGGTAATGTTTGCTTCTACCATGCATTCATTTACCTGTGGATAAATGTCAGCAATTACTAGAAGCAGAATACCCTCAGCAGATTACCGTAATTCTCGTCAGATTACGGTAAATCTGGATGCATTAGTGTTGGAGTAGACAGATTACCGGTGACTGCAAATACCCCAGCTGGGATGGTGTCCCCAGGCTGGCAGTGAATCACAAATATTAGCTTTATCCCACATCTGTTCTCGAGTCTTAACTAAGCTGTGGATGTCAGTGACTTAAGCTTTTTAACACCACTAAGCTGTATGAGCATCGTCAGTATAGCTGCTGACCCTTAGAACCAGCGTTATTATAGCCACAAACCGTAGTATTCTCCAATGTACACTCCCACTTACTGAACACTCCTTATCTCAGCTTAAATCCAAGTCAAGATAAGAAATGTTTACAGTAATACATCATTTAGTGAAGTTAATGAGTCCTCCACTATAGCAAAAAAGAATAATTATTTATCTCTTAGTTCACAGATTGTTGATAAGATACAGTTCAAGCACCAGCCATTGTGTGATATGACCCCTCCCCCCACCCCCAAAGGTGCCATATTCTGTTGTGTATGTTCACCCCACTTCTTCTACCCTTTCCCCTCCCCTTCCTCTCCCCACTCCACCACCAGACGGCTCCTCATCCTCCTCATCTTGCCTCATTCACCCCTCACCACCCTGCCTCATTCACCCCTCACCACCCTGCCTCATTCACCCCTCACTGCCCTGCCTCATTCACCCCTCACCACCCCTCACCCTCACTGCCCTGCCTCTCCTCACCACCCTGCCTCATTCACTGCCCTCCTGCCTCATTCACCCCTCACCCCAGCCTCATTCACCCCTCACCACCTGCCTCATTCACCCCTCTGCCCTGCCTCATTCACCCCTCACTGCCCTGCCTCATTCACCCCCAACTTCCTTAAAAAAGCAAACAGCCATTCTTCCAAAATATCTGACTTCCCAAGACCTCAAACACCTCCCAAGACCTCAACCACCTCCCAAGACCTCAAACACCTCCCAAGACCTCAAGCACCTCCCAAGACCTCAAAGACCTCAACCTCCTCCCCAGACCTCAACCTCCTCCCAAGACCTCAACCTCCTCCCAAGACCTCAACCTCCTCCCAAGACCTCCCAACTCCCTCCTCCCAGACCTCAACCTCCCAAGACCTCAACCTCCTCCCAAGACCTCAACCTCCTCCCAGACCTCAACCTCCTCCCCAAGACCTCAACCTCCTCCCAAGACCTCAACCTCCTCCCAAGACCTCAACCTCCTCCCAAGACCTCAACCTCCTCCCAAGACCTCAACCTCCTCCCAAGACCTCAACCTCCTCCCAAGACCTCAACCTCCCCCACAAGACCTCGACCGACTGTCTCAGGGGCACCACTCTCTCTACTTGGTGTGTGCCTCCTCATAACACTTCCCCCATCACCTTCTCATTCTGTGATTCACAAATTGTGCAAAAAAAATATCACTTTTTGCAATAATAAATGATTCTAAATAATTAAAATAGCTAGATGAAAATTTAGATAAACATTTGGTTCATAATTTTCAGAACTTAATGTTTCGTATTTACATTTATCGAGACATAAACATTTAAACATCATACTATAGTGATATTTTTTTAATTACCTACTGCAACTGTCACAAAATAATATGCAACATTCAAACAAAATATTAAATCATAATTTTTTAACAGACCTCATTTACATAAACAAGGTCTTTTAATCGATGTTTTCACTATGGTTACGTAAACATCCATCGACATTTTGACTATAACGTGTAAGATACTTTTAAGAATATTCCTGTGTTTACATTTGAATATATCCCAGAAAAACCCTTTGTATATATCCAGTATATTCATATATCATAGTTCTAATGCAGGTATATTTTGATATGATTTTCCGTGCAATATCAATGGAAGAGAGATGATTTTCTGGTCTGTGTTAATTAAGGTACTGTAGAGGAATCTAATGCAAGACTTATGAGCATTCACAAGTACCTTAGGTATTGTATTAAACCTTATTGTTGTTGTTAGTATGTTAATTCATGTTCACATACGGTAGTTCCATATAATACAGCTTCCTTCACTTGATGTCTGTGGAACTGATGGCTGTCCTGAGAATTTGACATTGGTTTAAGGGTTTATATCTGGGTTTAGGGGACATATCTGAGGTTTATTGGGTCATATTGTGTTTAAGGGGTCAGGTCTAAGGTTTAAGGGGTCAGATCTAGGGTTTAAGGGGTCAGATCTAGGGTTTAAGGGGTCATATCAAGGGTTTATGGGTCATATCAAGGGTTTAAGGGTCAGAGCTAAGGTTTAAGGGGTCAGATCTGGGGTTTAAGGGTCATATCTAAGGTTTAAGGGGCCAGATCTAAGGTTTAAGGGGTCATATCAAGGGTTTAAGGGTCAGAGCTAAGGTTTAAGGGGTCAGATCTAGGGTTTAAGGGTCATATCAAGGGTTTAAGGGTCATATCAAGGGTTTAAGGGTCAGATCCAAGGTTTAACCGGTCAGATCTAAAGTTTAAGGGATCATATCAAGGGTTTAAATGTATCCTGTCTACTGTTGTAATTTTGGTCAATGAATCATAATTGTTTTTACCGTCATGCGGAGAGAAAATACATTGAGGACAAGAATGGCTTAAACCCTCTGTCAAATTCTTAGGGTAAATATTCCTTTTATAATCTTTTAATACTTTGACATCATTAAATTCCCACTCTCCCCCCCCCCCTCCTCTTAAATATCCTCAACCGTATCATGAAAAAATTACGGTACTATTTTATTCTTTTTATTTCTGTCTATATGTGTATCTTATCTCCATCACCTGTAAATCTTGAGTTAGTTGAAAAATTGATGCTGTATGTGTGTGTGTGTGTGTGTGTGTCGAAACAGTTGCCTTCAAGCAATATTGTTTACAAAAAATGTCAATGGAAGTATTATCATCATCATTATCCATTACTCAAACTAGAAATACTGTTAATGGATATTGTTTAATTATTTCCAGGTGCCATTACTGAATCATAACATATATACGTAATGATCTGTGCTGTCTCAGTCTTTGTATTATACCAAACACGACCTTATATACAAGATGGTTATTGTGTTGAGAGGGGTTACTTGCACAGTTAATCACGCAATAGCAACATTCTCCTGCAATAACAATATACCCACACAAAAAGGAAAATGGTCATTGCAGATTCTCAACCACACAATAGCAACATTCTCCTGCAATAACAATATACCCACACAAAAAGGAAAATGGTCATTGCAGATTCTCAACCACACAATAGCAACATTCTCCTGCAATAACAATATACCCACACAAAAAGGAAAATGGTCATTGCAGATTCTCAACCACACAATAGCAACATTCTCCTGCAATAACAATATACCCACACAAAAGTCCATCTTGAGGAACATTCTGTGTTATTTCTGTACCACAACTCATAAATAACATCAAAAATTCACGTCTGTTTATGTGACACAATAATCAAATCTGTGAACATGGAGTCGTTTGTTATACATTGAAGAACAGAATGAACGATATCATCCCACTTTCATCATTTGTGTGGTGGAGTCGTTTGTTATACATTGAAGAACATAGTGTTATTATACCTGTTTCATCATACAAGTGAATATTATCCTTTGATACTGTATACTGTATTCTTTCTTAACTTCTCAATGCTTATATCTCTCGTGTCAAATTTTCCACATACAATTTATATTCATCGGGTATATTATTTAAGATATCATTATTTTAATTATTTCTCTTTCTTTAAATAGTTATTGAGAAAAGACTTAACGAGAAAAGGTTTATTTCTTTTTATTCTTTCCATTCTCTTATACCTCATATGGTGGTTCTTTTGTTTAGGTGGTAATATTTATAATCCTGTTTAAATGTGCTTGAAAGAATTATCCCTCCCTTAAAACTGTATTGCAGACTAAATAACGGCGCCACGGTGAGTTGTATTGACAGTATTATACATTAGGCTGAGGAATAAAATGTATGGATGGTGATACAGTATTGACCATTGTGAACTGTAGTGGTGTGCTGATGAATGGTGAATAACAACACAATACCTGTAATACCTTCTTAGGGTAGGATGTTATAGTGCTGTAAGAATGGTGACTGTCTTGTAATAATGGTGATGACTAAACTATGGAAATTAGGGTTGGTTGATTAGATCTTGAGAATTTAGGCTTGTTAGCACCTATGTTGAGAGATAGGCCTACCAGCTGTGAGAGATAGGCCTACCAGCTTTAGTACCCATACATGGTAATTATACTCGATAACTATCAGTGTATGTTAATTAGGCTTGACTGATGTCGTATGGTGATGCAATCTTATTAGTTACAGTAATATGTATAATTAAAGTCTAATAAATGCTGTACTTTGATAAATAATAAAACTCGTGAGAATATAATTAGGCTTAGAGTACAATAAGGCCAAAACTAGAACTCTTAGCATGTACTCAGAAATCGGCTTAGTAATATTAGTACTCTCAGATAAACGCTTGATTACTACTTGATAGGTCTAATACTTTCAGAAAAAAATATCCTTTGTGATTGAGAACTGATACCTTATTGAGATATATATATATAGGTGTAGGTTACAGGATTATATAATATAGTATATACGTGATAGACCTAGTATTATGATCATTATACCTTATTAGTAGTATATACTTGGTGAGGTGGTGAAAGGAATCAAATATGACACTTAAGTTACGCCTCTTGAAGGAAGAAAAGAGGTTTCATGTGACTACACCATAAGAACTTTCCACTGAGTGACTTTGTTGTGATTTTTACTCGTGATGCTATGCTATGTGGCAAACCTGCAGGAAGACACTGTTTAAATTATTATTTTTTCATTTATGGACGGGCAGGGCCTTTCATGGGAGGTGTGTGTGTTGAAGCTACCGTGTTGTGGACAGTTTTTAGACTGTAAAAAAAAAGGGAACAGAAACACTGGCATGGGGTACTGTAGTGACGCTGGATTGGTCAGACAGGCTCACTCACGCCCTACCTATTGTGATCAAGCTACATTCCATTGTATATAAATAGCTATTAAAATGTTTATGAAGGCAATGTCAGGGATGTATATAAGAAATGTAATTTTGTATCATATAAGTAGATGTTATCTATAGAATTACCAAATAAACCATTATTATCCTTAATTGTGTGTTAATGCCCGCCATTATATATTGTTGTGTAAAGACATGGGTATCTAAAACAACTTTCTAAACTACAACTATATAAATTTTGTGGAAGGATCAGACTGGAACAAAAAAAATGTTTTAAACTTAATGACAATCGTAATATTTCTCTGTTCTTCACCAGGAAATTTCATATCAATTGAACGTCCAAAAAATAATTAATAACTTCCTAATTTAATCTAACCTTACAAAACGTAACTTAAGTAATATGATATATCCTAATTTAAGTTAGGATATGTTTATTAAGTATATGAATAAATTTTTTTATTCATAATGTTCTTTTGGATTCTCATTTGACCACTTTATTCATTGGCGCAAATTGGCGGAGTTGGATAGGAGAGGAATGGTGAGCATACCATAATTAATCGTCTTTCATCTGTGTTTAGCTTTTTCATCGACTTATTCAATATATATCTCATGTTTAAGTTGTTATAGACTGTTAAAAATATGGTAGAATAAAGTCGTGGAGGCAGGAGATAAAGATATAATGGCGACAATATATAATGAAGCGAATGTCAACATGGCGAAGGTCGTCTTCCTCACCAAGTTGTTGACGTCTTGAGAACTATAAGAAAATAACTAATTCAATCAACTAGATATTAAATCCAGTAGTTCATATGTCTAGAATTATAAATTAAACTGATAGTAATTAGTTACAGAGTTGAGACCAAAATGAATAATATGGAAAGTTTTGGCACCAGATAATTTAAGATCCCATGATTATACATATTACAGAATTATACATAATATATGATTATACATATTCTGGTTAGGTTTATCTATATATTTCATTTAGTCACCTCAACTCTAACTGATGAAAATGGAAGATTATGCTAAGTAAAATTTCGTCTGAATTTGGCTCCAGTAATGATTTTGTCTAATAAATTCTCAACGTTTAGTGGTTGGTAAATGGTCAATATGTATTCAGTAAAATCCTCATACAAGTTTATATTGCTTCATCATATATAATCATTTGTTTGGCTTATGAACTAATGTACTGTTGTGCGCTTAAAGGTCTTAGTTGTTGAAGAGATGCAATAATTTATCCTCCGTCACTGATCGTCTCTTACACTGTGGTCAAGTACCGGGTAACCTCTCCTACACTTCCTTTTACTTTTATCCTCTTCACCACTGATCGGCTTGTTAGTCGTTTGGGTAGTCCGTCACGTCTCTATTGCGCACTGTTGGGCAGGTACTGGGCATGTACTGGCTCCTGAATGTACCTGAACCTGCTCCACTGTTGGTCAAGTCTGGTCTTGAGACAGCTCACACTCGGTGCCGTCACAACACTTTCTGGTAGAGTGTTCCAAGAGTTCACAACTCTCACTCAGAAAAAGTTTGCCCTCACAGTTTTCTGGACTTGCGCCTTCTTCAACCTTGAGCTGTGACCCCTTGTGGGGCGAGCGTCCGCCAGCTCCAGGTGCTTGGTTGAGTTACAAATTGTAAGGAATTTAAATGACCTCTCCTATACAACCCTCACCAAGGAAGAATATACCAGGTTAAACTCGTACCTTGTTGTCGGTCAGTCAGGTGTATGGACGACAGGTATAGTTTACAAAGGCTTTAAGTAACCATTAACATTGGACCTTGTGATAGAAATGTCATTGCGTAACGTATGTAAGGTTTTGAAATAAGTTGAGTTTGGTTCTATTACACTTGTGTCGATAAATAACACTACACATGTTTCACGTATCAGCAGCGTAAAATACTCACCCACGTTAAATGTCATTATAATATAGCATCCCCAGTAAAGCTTCGTGTCTGTATTCACGTGAAGGGCGGCGAGAAACTGTACAGTACAAAAGCATTATATTTGAATTTTGACCCGTAGAAAATAAAATAAGCTGCAGTAGGCCTAGTTAACATAAATCCTAGACCTGGATCTACGCCAAATGGAATCTAACAACACGCTAAATATTGTACACCAATAACGTGCGTAAGAGAGAGTTGTTCATCACTGTCTACTCAAATCTAGATGGAATATCGTGTGCAATCGAATCTTTTATACATATTAAGAATAAAAAGAAATAACCATCGTGTTCACTGTAAAATAAGCAGTACTTTTATGCAGAATTCGTATAAATACTTCCATTCAAGGCCCATGGGACTGACCTGAGCTCCTCTGAATGACAAACTAAACGAAATTGATCTTGCGGGAAAAATAATGTTCATCTCCTCCAAGTAAATAATTAAATGCAATACATAATTGTTGATGCATCTCTATGAATGAACCTTCGTTAAATTAGTACAGGCAATGATTTAAGCAACATTCTTAAGACAGTTCACATGATTAAACCATCTTATATAATCCTTCTGTCTTGTCCATCATTTGTCGCGCAGAGGATAACAGTATAGTAACAGTATAGTCGTAATCCATCTCTTGAAATTATGGGATTTTTCTTAACTTTGAAAATTGCACTATGATATGTTTCTCCCTCAAACAGTTAACTTTAATAGTACAATCATTATCATCCTTTAATTGGAAAAGTTTATACAATCATCAACAATATATATAATCATCCTGACAACATAATTATAATTTCTACTAATAGTTTTTGTATGTTATCCTTTGTAATTATTGATATACACACATTCAATTCCTGTAGGAAATATTACTATATTACCTAAATAAAGTCAAATTAAATCACCAGACATTAAGAGCATAGTCTCCCCTCCACAGGTATCAGCCAGCATCGTCTTCTCTGAGTCAGCACGTGTGTTCCTTAACCCGCCTCACCACTGTCCCCACCGCCCAAAAATGTGTTCCGTTATTACCATTATTTTGTAGCGCCTAACACCACAACCCCCTTAATTATGACAGCGGACATGGATACAGAAGACTCCATCGTATCTGTTATCATCAAGAGGCGCCTAACACGTGAGTAGAATGACCTAGTTGGGATATATTATTGTAGGTAGTTCAGGCTATAGGGGGGAGAGCTCTGGAATTCATTTAACCATTTACAACTTTGGTTTAACTATTCTAATCATTTAATGTGGTGTAATGTACTGTTTTTAAGTCCATGCTGAGAGTATTTGTCACGTTTCGTCACCAGGTGTAATTTATTTGGGTGTTTGTTATGATTATTTTTAATCAATAACTCATGGAAGTTTTTCTAGAACTCTTTAATTGTAGAGGGAGATATTTGTGATTATGAGACATTATGCTAATGTGATATAATTATTCTGGTAATGTGTATTGAGTGATTATAGAAGATTATTATTATTATTATTATTATTATTATTATTATTATTATTATTATTATTATTATTATTATATGAACTCAGTGTTAATTTGGAAATCCTTTGATGGTCTGTGGTGGTGAAATGTGTACTGTATTTTATTACTGAAAATGGGGTAGAATTGCGGTGTTGGGTTGTGTAAATATAAATTAGACTGGATATTTCCCTGGCTGTTGGTTAGGTAGGAATTTTAGACTAACACCAGAAGAAGTTGATAGTATTGGACGAAAATGTGTGGAAACGTTATTTTCAATCTATTAAATGGAATTGAGAATGCACAGAACCTATCAGAACCTGACCTAACCAACCTAACCTAAAGTAACCCACTTAACTTTACCTAACTTACCAGAAAACGACTTGTAAAACATAGCTTATGGCACTGAATAGATTATTATTTCCATTTATTAAATAGTTTGTAATTAATGTTTCCATAAAGTTTCGTCCAATTCTATCAACTACTTCTGGTGTTAGTCTAAAAAACCCTACCTAACCAACAACCGGACAAATATCCACAACGTATAAACTATCCTTCAGTAATGATATATACAGTAGTGATCTGTGTATGCTAAATTCAGATAAATGTCGGTGATTATTTTTTTTTTCTGCCCAAGTTTGTAAAGGCAAAGACTTGCTTGTTGCTACAGAAGAAAATTTAAGAGCACAATAATAGGAAAGAAATTTGTGCCTTGATAATTATGTATTTTGATAAATGAAAGGAATATTTTGGTATTTATTTTATTGTAAGTTAACAAGTTCACACATCTTTCCGGTAATGCTTTGCACATCAGACTCATGAGAACGAGCTACCTAACAGAAATTGTTTATAGAAGGAAACTTTTTCCGGTAACCCTGGAGGAGGTGGCTATCACCAGAAGGCATTGTTCAATTTAGTTAAATTTTCGGTAAAACTGCAGATTAAAGCAACCCAAGAATCTGATAAAAAATGTGTTTTTCTGATGGTTTTTGATGTGATTAGTTCAAACCAGACCTTCGTTTTTATCAGAAATCACTCATTTTGAATTTATCCCCCTGCCCTCCTCAATATAATTCTATCGATTGCATGTTCTGAATTCCTGGTACTCTGTGCTTGCTAACTTGTACCATATAACCAAACTAAACCTTACCTAACCCCTTAACAGTCCCCGAACCCCTGATGACCCTAGCAGTAATAGGCTTTGTAATAAGTTCTAATAACCCTAGAGTCGCGTGGTCAGCCTCCACGAGAATATAAATAGCCGTTAGAGTATTTCTTGCCTTACTCCGAGTCAGGGACCAGAATGCGTCGTGGATTCCGCTGTTCTCTAAAGTTTCCTTATTTTTAGAATGAAATAATACAATAAACATTCCAATAATCAAAATCGCACCCAGCACATAATGGCTCCTTGTTGCAACTGATTCAAAATGTCCTGAATCCTCGCATCCACACCGAATATATTGAACGCTAATTGGTTGAATCAAAAGTTGAGATTTTTTATTCGATTTGATTGGCTGCCGCCTCCGCCCTAGGTTTGATTGGCTGCGGCCACCCACAATTTGATTGGCGGCCACCCCCCGGCATTTAAGCGGGAGGTAAGCGAACGTACGCACACACAATTTGAGCAACAGCGTAGGGGCAACAGGTGCTCTGATTTTATTATTTTTAAAATTCAACAACTTACTTATTATCAATTTGTAATGGAAGTGTAATATAAGAAAATGATCATAGAAAAAATTGTTCTATCGATTAAGTGTAGTGGATTTCCGGAATTCTGTGGTTGCTGTAAACTGCAGTATTACCCAATTTTCTACAGATGTTCTTATCATTATAGTAAGTATTTTAAGAGAGGTGATGTTTACTAGAACCAAATAGAGCCTGACCTACCCAACCAAAGAAACCCACCTAACTTTACCTAACTTCCTAGCTGGCCCACATCATATTAAACAGAAAGTCCTTATTTTAATATCTGGTACCAATGAAAGCAGCTTGTTGTAGCATCAAGGTGTAATTATACGTTTTTTTGTGGACGTGAGAGTACCATCAGACCGAGCGGGTTGGTTGTAAACACACTCGGTATAGTGGACTTTCATCTCTATATAGTCCATTAATAGAGGTCATACTGTAATATCAATAATACTTGTTGGATATGTCAGGTTTTATTGATATTTATTGTTGTTGGGTATCTGAGAGGCTTAATGACAATTGTGTTCTTCTTCAGCTCTTATACAGGTTGAGGTAGAGCCAGTCGGGCGATGGTTCCACAGTTATGAAGCTCGGCGGCTGCGGGGTCACCTGATCTCCTCTGCTGGGGAGAGTGAGGAGGAGAGCGAGGGAGAGGAAGGTCCTGAAGTAGAGATTGAGGATGATATTCAGTATCTCAGATCACTTAACCCAGCGGACTGGAAGGTGTGTATAGTAGTACTTCGTGTGTGTGTGTGTGTGCGTGTGTTTAGTCTTGTAAATTCATACTCCATGTGTGTATAATGTCCTGTGAATTGGGAAAATTGGGATATAGCAATACTCCAATTAGAGCTGATTCAGAAAACACTTATTATCTACAAACCTGCCTAGAGCTTTCATTAGGTGTGTACTGTATTGCTGTCTATTCCCTGTACTGTACTGTCTTGAATCATATGTAATGTTCAACAATATTAACAGTAAAGGATTCTCATCAATTATAAAGCATTTTGACACATGACAATAACTGGACTTAATATTACAGGATCAAGACCACTATGCTGTGTTGGGTCTTAAGAAATACCGCTACAAGGCATCAGATGAAGATATTAAGAGAGCTTGTGAGTATACTGTGGGTTTTATTAGTTACTGCAGTGCATGGATACTGTATATATATATTTAGATTCAGTTACAAGAGGGAATTATTATCTGACGTGTGCCTGAATTAGCACTGCCTAGAATAAGAATGTGGTAATTATAAGAACTTTTCACATGGATATATTACTGGAGATTTTTATGATACTGTATTGTACTGTATTTTTCTTACTACGGTACAGTACTAAATTGATGATAATGTTTAGAAATGAAGTAAATGTTGTGGAGAACTTAAACATGACAAAATTACCTTCAAGTAAACTATTTTAGGTAAATGTTCACTAGATCAAATAATACTAAGAGTCCAAGTGAAAACATTGGCAGGTATGGAGAGTACCGGATACAAAAGCTTCCTTGTAAGCAAATGTCTAGTAATAAAGTTGTACTGTATAATACTGTAGTGTCTTAATACAACAGGAAAATACAGTACAGTACAGAAGTCTTGTATTACACATGAGAGGATGTGGTCAGTTCATAAGGGCAGAATTGAATCTTAAGTACAATGATTTAAGTAACAGTTAATACTTCATCTCCCAGACCGCATGATGGTCCTCCGGCACCACCCTGATAAGAGAAGAGGAGCTGGGGAGGAAATTCGGGACGACGACGATTATTTCACATGTATAACTAAAGCCTACGAGATATTGGGTGATCCAGTGAAACGTCGCTCGTGGGATTCTGTCGATCCAGAATTTGACGACGAAGTTCCCGCAGTAAATGCCTACAATAAAGCTAATTTCTTTGAGGTGAGATTAATGTGTGTGATTTGGTTTTGAGTTCTATGATAATTTAACCCAACTATCCCAGCCCCTCAGGTGAAATAAACTGGGGTGCCTTATCATCAGGTACTGTAGAATAATAACACATGACAGGTAGAACTGGAGGAAGGATTACAGGGCATTGTCAGAGAAATGTAAGCCGGTAACAAATGCTAATAAAAGTTAGATGGATTTAGTCTACATACAGTACAGTACTACAGGATTATTTGCTGTAAATTCTGTATTTCAGTCTGTAGTGGTAGATGCAGTGCTGAATTTTTTGTGCTTTTAATTGTGAATTTTTATGTTCAAGAGCTTCTCCTTTGGTTACATATACGTTACTGTAGCCAATTGGAGAACAGGAAGACTCAAATACAAATACTGTAGCCAATTGGAGAACAGGAAGACTCAAATACATACACTGTAGCCAATTGGAGAACAGGAAAGACTCAAATACATACACTGTAGCCAATTGGATAACAGGAAAGACTCAAATACATACACTGTAGCCAATTGGAGAACAGGAAAGACTCAAATACATACACTGCAGCCAATTGGAGAACAGGAAAGAATCAACGTGTGTGAATTAAGAATATATATTGGGTCATGAACGGTATTTATAGTAAAAGTTTCACTTATTTTAACATAGGATTTTGTATTTATTTTTATGCTCTTTACAGGTGTTCACTCCTGTTTTGGAACGGAATGCTCGGTGGTCGACGAGGAAACACGTCCCTAGTCTAGGCAAGCCAGATGACCCTAAACAAAAAGTAAGTTGTTTTGGGGATTGTAAGTTAATATTATCAGATGCTGTCGTTATATTGTAATTTTCTAATGGCTTTTCTTCATTACGCTCACTCCAAAAATTGTCATTACAAGAAATTATAGCAAATTACAATTGGTTATGTGGGTAAACTGATACATTTTTCTTCCTTGCAGGTCGATAGGTTTTATGGGTTCTGGTACGACTTTGAATCTTGGAGAGAGTTTTCATATTTAGACGAAGAAGAGAAAGAAAAAGGACAGGAGTGAGTATTTTATTTGTCACTGTGATATTTATGGTTAAGTTAGGTTGTTCTGGTATTTGGTGTTTACATGTTGGACGTTGTTGTTGAAAATCAGATCTGTTAAGTTGGAATATACTCTACAGTATTTGTTTACTTGCGACTTAGATTAACACGGGATCTTCCTTTGTGTGTTAAATTTCACGGTTTGGTTTATTATTTAATTTTAATCCAATTTTTTAGATTACTTGTCACTGTTAATTATAAGATTGATTAATTTTGATGCTATTGGTACCAGTGTGGCATTTTTTGTTTGTTGATAAACTGGGTAATTGATGCGTGTTTTGTTTGCGATCAGTCGAGAGGAGCGTCGATGGATAGAGAAACAAAACAAAGTGGAACGAGCCCGGAGACGGAAAGAGGAGATGGCTCGGCTGAGACGGCTGGTGGACAACACCTACGCCTGCGACTCAAGAATTGCAAAGTACGTAACAAGTTTTTGGCGTTGTTTTCTGTTCCTGGGAGTTTTATTTTAGAGGGAGAAGAATTTTATTAATGTGTGTTGCATTTCTTGTGATTAGGAGTTGATTACCATATTTTATTTCTTACAGGTTCAAAGAGGACGAGAAAGAGAGAAGATTAGCACATAAAAAAGCAAAGGCAGAAGCAATCAGACAGAAGGTGGAAGAGGAGGAGAGGGTAAGCTATTTCGCATTTTTATCCTCCAAATAGAATATTGTCTGTTGTCTCATTGAGGTTTAACGTTGAGAGTAATACCAGAGAGGTGGGGAAATTACTATTCATTTACTACATTGGATTTGTAATGATTGTTTAACTTGGTGGAGTTTTCATTTTAATAGCAAAAATAAATGGTTCAGCTTCAATGTTAGAAAGTTCTTGAAAAGTTGTCTGTCTGGTAGTACTGGGATCAAGTCTACATTGTTGATGCATCATTTGACTGATATTAATTTTCAGATTATATAATTACTATTAGTCGTAATTATACGTATGGGCTTGTTAAAAAGAAATCTGAGCCACAAAAATAGTCAAAGAGAGATGGAGTCTCATGTGTGAATCCGGACTCATGTGGTCGACTCTTGCTACAGTGGGTCAACCTTTGCTGAGTTAATAATAAACCGTTTTTTTTTTTTTTTTTGAGTTGGGGAAAAGCTTTTATGCAGACCGATCTAATAACTCCAACTTGGCCCACCAGGACAACCATGTTACTGTACTCCCACAATGAGATAAATGTCAAATTCTTAGGTGTGGTGAATATTTTCTGGAGAACTTAGACTCTGTTTATCTCTTCCTTAATTAGATAAGACGAGAAGCAGAAGAAGCCGAGAGAAAAAAGAGGGAAGCTGAAGAAGCAGAGCAAAGAGCCAAGCAGGAGGTAGAGAAGAAGGAACGAGAGGCATTGAAAAAGGCCTTCAAGAAGGAACGCAAGGTGAGACTTGAAGCTTTATTTTACATTGTAGTGTCAAGAATTTTATGTTAACAGCAAAACTATTGAAGTGATTTCTCCATTTATAATTGTTTTATTTTCATCATTACTATTTTATGACCATTTTCTGCACTTTAATGGACAGTTTTTGAAGCTGTATAGTCTCTTGCAACTTCTCTCCTGAGGTCATTACTCATAACACCTCTCCTCATGTTATTCTTGGTCTGCCTCTGCCCCTCCTCCCCCGCACATTAACTCCCATTCACCTTTTAGTTAATACAAGTGTGGAAAGCAGCCAGCCATAAGACATTGATGATGATGTTGGTAGAATATAAGCTAAAATTAACCAGAAATATCTAGGAATAAACTTTTAATGATTTGCATATTTTTTCTCGTTGTAGACTTTACGCTCTCTATGCAAGGACAACAATTATTACACCAACAATGAGAGTGACCGGGTACAGGTGATGACTGATGTAGAGCTGCTGTGTGAGGCCCTGGAACTTGTCAAAATTGAAGAACTCAACAAGGAACTTTCTCAGGCGGGCAAGGATCAAGCTAAAGGCAGGGGAGTGTTAATGAAAGAGGTGAGGAGTAAAGATTAACTTTTTTTTTGGGGTGTGTAAATGAATTTCAGATTATCCCTATGTGTACGGTATACTATTATGAAACTATATACGGTAGAATCCCAGTTATCCGGCACCTATGGGGATTGAGAGGTGCAGGGTAAATAGATTTTCTGGCTACGTGAATCTCACTCTTAAAATCCCCTAATGAATCCTACAATGCTCAGTGCTACAGGCTGATATCACAAATTTGTATCTCGGAAAAATGGACTTCTCTAATATTTATTACACTTTATTATAAATGATGTGACTTAGAGAAAATGAAAAAATAATATCAAACTATAAAATTAGAAAAATGAAGAGCATGTGTGTGGAGGCGGTGGTTTACTGGGCTATAACTGCATGTGACATGATGACACACACAGCCCGTGAGCCAGCTGGGTGACTGCCTGAACTGTGTCATGTTGCCCACAGGATGGTTTGGGTGTGGAAGGAGCTATTTTTGGTTTATAAAATATGTGCTATTGTATTTTATGATATACTATATATCAATTTGATTGTTTATCATAGAAATAAATATGGCAGCTCATCCCCATTGCATGCAGTATCCAAACTTACGATTCTAGCTGATTTGGGCGGATTTTTTTTATTTTATTTCAATTTGTTGCCGGTTAGTTAAATCTTCTGGTTGCCGGTTAGTTGAATCTACTGGTTGCCGGGATACCGGGTAACTGAGATTCTACTCTAATGGTTTTCTACCCATCTACTTGTCAATCATGTTTTATTTTCACCGAATTGGCATGGGACAGAATTTAAATTGCATAATATTTTTAGTGCAGATTTGTAGTTGCCTAAAAAAAAAAATCCTTCAATCCTTGTCACACCTCTCATCATGGATTCTTATTTCTGTCCAGGTAACTGAAGTTCGTAATCAAATTAAACGTGAGAGAGAGGAGGTAGCAGCAGCAGCATCACGCGGAGGTAGTGGAAGTGGCGGTGAAGGATCGTTACACAAAACATGGTGCCAGGATGACCTCCAACTATTAATTAAGGCTGTGAACTTATTCCCAGCTGGTACAACAAAACGGTAAATCATTTTGTCCGTCTTATATCACTGTCTTGACTTGATGACTGTAGATAAGGATGAAGGGCTATTGCTAGTCTTTGGCTGGGATGGTAGGGATAAGGGTTGGAAGTACTTTGTGGGTACTTGGGGACAGGGAGAGGATTAGTTTTAGGATAAGGTAAATGAAGGGGATGTTTGGTAGAATCTGGGCTCAACCAGATATGTTGTATTTTAAGATTCTGGGTTGATACTTTTGTACTACTTATTAAACTTCTAGCTCTCAGGCCGTGACATTTATCAAGATCGTGTTTCGTCGTTGCAGTAGCCAATATTCCAAGGAAGAGTTCACCTCTGGCCAGGTTCTTTATGGAGCTGGCCGAGCATCGTATCTTTTGCTTTAATAATTGTGGGAGGAAGGGGTTGGAGAGGTCAAGGATAGTGTCCATTAGTCACTCTCTTCTTTTGTAATGGGGTCTTGCTCTATGTGGTAGTACAGGAATGCTTTGTTACACAGGATTTTGTCGGGTGTTAAGGCCCTGTTTGGTCCCATCCATGTGGTGAAGTACGGTCCCAAGTGTAGTTGTCCTCCGGTGTTTATTATTCGTTCTAGTGCTGTACCTATGTAGTTATTGTTGCCATTGTTAAATATGTGTTGTTTAGCATTAAAATCTCCCACGTCTTAAGGTCTTACCAATGAAGAAATCTACACTCCCACTCAGGCTAGATATTAAGTTTATTCTAAATCAGATCATGAGAAATGGTCTTTTTTTGCCAAGCTTTTCTTACTTTGATTCAGAGAGTGACAAGAATGAAGAGCAAATACAGACTCGTTCTTCATTAGTTCTTGGTGCAGGATGAATAAGTAAACCCTAGTCATTAGTGGCTGGAGCTAATATAAAGTGTTTCATATCTCCTTATTGCTACCATACCTTTCAATAAATGTTACTTAAAAGCAAAGGTAACACTTAAGAATGGAGATTAATGAGTTGTAATGTCACTTTAGCCTTTCTTTCATGTGACTTGACCTAAACTATTTGCACATTTTAAAACCTCGATTCCAGCCAATAAAGGGGACATTCTTCTGACATTCTTCTTTCATTAATATTTGAGTAAAGACTCCACACGGGTTCACTCATATTGTTGCTACACTTAAATGTACAGTACTGTATTTAGGTTACTGCATTCAGAGATTTGGCGAGTGTCTATCCTTAGATATTTAATGTTCCTGCTGTGGTCACACTCCATCTGAGTGCTTCAGACTATGGTGGGCTGCTTATGTACTTTGTTCTCCAGGTGTTTTAACTCTTGCCTGCCCAGTGTAATGTTCCTAGATTATAATCCTCAACTGTAGCCATTCTGTAATGATGTGAGTATGGATACAATGTTAACCATCAAATGTAAACGAATTTAGTTCATTCTTTGGTCAAATTTGTAATTAGAAATTTCATAACTGCCATTTCCCATGATGCAGTAACTTAAATAGTTTTGTGAGATGGTTACAGTGTATTTAATCCTTACTATAGTGTCTGTACAGCAGTTGTTAATGAATGTTCTCTTGTGTAGGTGGGATGTAGTAGCAGAATACATCAATCAACACACAACTACAAATATTGTAAGGCATGCCAAGGAGGTCCTCAGTAAAGCCAAAGAACTGCAGCACTCAGACCAGCACATGCGTGAAGCTGCCAATAAGAATGCTTATCACAGCATGGAGAAGTCTCAGGCTAAACCAACAATCAGTGATGCAACAGCTTCACAAAGATTTGACAGTGAGTAGTGTAGTCAACTTTGTGCAGTCAAGTGCATCTTATTATTCATAGGGTGATATTACAGTACAGAGCTACCTTACTATTTAATAAGCTGGCTATACATTATAACATGACAAAATATTAACTAGTAGTGTGGAATAAGAACTTCATTGACGTGGTTAATGTACAGTATTTGAGTCCAGTAAAAAAAATTCCATTGAACCTTACCAATTTCTCCGTTAACTTCTTCAAAGTATCTCAGACCTGTGTACTATTTTTGCAGCATTTGTTAAAGAAGTCTGTGTTCCTTTAGTTTGCATCAAGCAGAGAGAGTTAGTAGGTGTGAGGAAGGAGTTTAGCTATAGTGTAGATTGGATTATATTCATGATCTGTTAACTACAGTACCTATAACCATTTAATATCTTGACTAGCACCACAAGAGATGTTGGGCATGAACACAATGGCATGGGGTGCAGAGGAGCAGCGTTTATTGGAACAGGCTCTGAAAACCTACCCAGTCTCCACCCAGGATCGTTGGGACCGTATTGCCGAGTGTGTCCCGAACCGTACTAAGAAAGACTGCATGAGACGTTATAAGGTAAGCTGGATTAGAAACGTACTTGTTTATTGGTATTGTCTGTCATTCTCTATAGAAACAATCATTTTAGGTGGATATTTATTGATAAATTCTAGCACAGTATATAAAAAACATGGTTTGTGTTAGTTTGGTTCTGGAGGCAGGAGTATCTTTATTTGAGATCAAGAGTCATGAGAAGCAGAAAGGAGGAGACATCTTACCACGGAATTGGGCTCAGGACTCCTATTCTAAGAGTCCTTTTTTAGAACCAGCATTAGCATTATCTGGGATCAGGAGCCTTTTTAGGGGAGGAATTTTTTTTGAGAACCAACAATAGGCTACTTCCTGAAGAATGCTCCCCCCCCCCTTTTTTTTAAAAGCATTTTATACCTCCCCTAAGTAGGTTAATATGGTCTTTTTCTTTTCTATTTTTAACTTCGTTTTACTCTTATTTTTTTGCCCCCTAGGCCCTGTTGTGGGTCGATGATCTGTGCCCGGTTGGGCTATTTCCCGGAATCAGTCTCTTGGAGAAGGACTGTCCTTAGGACCAATATTAGTTTGGGTAGTAGGAGTCTCTGTGCTGAATAAAATTGCCTGGCATAAGTCAAATAAGTTATTAAAAGTGACGTCCAGTCGTGAACGCGTTAAATTAAAGCAGTGTTGTGAGAACTGCCAGACAGGGAGGACAGTGGGTGCTTGCAAGCAATATGTTAGGAATCCCTAGGTTAACTTGACTCCCTAAGACAGTCAGGGGGTTAGCCCAGAGGTTCCCAATCTGTGTTTGTAGTAAGCACCCTTCTGCCCATTGTCAAGTAGTGCTCTTCTACAATACTTAATACAGTATCATGCTTGCAAGCACAATTTCACAGTGGTGCTTGTAGTCAATAAGTTGGGAACCTCTGCAGGTTTCTGTTCTATTGTATAGTTTTTATTTTATACATAATGTTGACAAGAGGAAAAATTTTGAAGGATTTGACTCTACTCAAGGACTCACCAAAGCTGTGTACTAGCCTCGTGTTCTTCGGCGATGTCTGAAATGATACAATTTTTTTTTACTTTTGCAGGAACTTGTGGAAATGGTAAAAGCAAAGAAAGCTGCTCAGGCTGCTGCTGCGGCCAAGAAATAATGTTTGTAAAGTTGTTCATGAACAAAATAAATTTACTGGGAAATTACTGCATATGCGTTATGCCGATGTAACTAATACTGTATACTGTATACAAAATTTTTTTCTTCACATTTGGAGTTTTGAGCATTCTATGATGAGGAAAAAGAACCGAGGCTCCATCACACAAAGTATTCTCAACACTATTGTTATTTTATAATTCTTGATTGTTCTTATTGTTCCCTTGATAATACTTTAACGTGACCGGACAAATTCCTCTAACGTACATTTGTATGATTTATATTAAAAGTTATTTTCTCGAGCGTACTGGATTGTTTAACTAAATCCATTGTGACAGTAATAAGTTAGAGGGAGGCGGGGTTGCTGCAGTCATTAAGGAATTAAAAGATGTTGATCCTTAAGCTGACTATTTCACTCCATATTGCTCAGCTAACTGTATAGTAATGTAGTGTATCAGAGCAGTACTGTATTCCCTATACATAACTTTGGGCCTCAATAGACAGTTTTTAGTTTGTGGTGACACACTAAGGCCAATAGATGACATGAACGGACAACAGTGACATAGGAGACATATAGTATACTTTAAGTTGGAGGACAGTGTTGAATGTCTAAGTGAATGCTCAGACATGAAGTATATGTCTCCTATGTCAGTTGCTGTTATATTTGTCCCCACCAACTGATAAATTGTCCATTTGGGCCGAAAGATGCTGTAGTGAGCCGTTTCACACAAAGAACAAGATAATTACAACTACCACCACCGACCATCCCTTCATGAATTACACCAACTCATTCTTCAGCAGGTCAGATTAATTATAACTATCAAATGCCAAATAAGGAGGAGAGATCCTGAAATCCTCTCTTCTAGTGGAGCCTGTAGCCAAGGAGCTTGCTTACTTCCTTTGGTTTGTCTAGGTAGTCGACTATATACACCAAGGTCTGGCAAGGGCAAATAATATAGAGAATAATATTACAGTATGTCATCATCCCATTACATTCATCCCCTTTAAATGGAGATTAGTACAAAGGTTGACTCACCCAAGAGGTAGAAGCCTGGGGGTATTTCTTGCTAGTCTACCATCTGTCCAGAATCAGTTCCAGCTACTTAATTAACTAAGAGGACAGAAGCTACCTGGCTACGGGATTTCAGGTTTAATCCTTCATGTCTTAGATACTATGTCCAGAAGCCTGGCAGCTCTCATAGCAAAAGCTAGGCAAGCAAGAGAGGTGGTAGTTTTATACAGAGACACAGATTCAGGTGAAATTATCCCCTTGTTTGTTGAACCAGGTATATACTGTGCCTTATACTGTAGTATAAAAAAGGAACACTTCATTAAACCAGAAAAGGAACATACAAAGTCCCTGATCTGCAAGTTTAAGTAAACTAAGACTAAAACTTAAGGACATAATAGTGAAACCAGAAAATTTCTAAAACACAGTTTATCGGCAATGAAAGGTGTCAAAAGTGCTATAGCAAGAGCTGCCTGGCTTTAGGGTTCTCTATATCTAGAAATTTTGGTTAAGTGATATACATTTACTTCATGTATAGAAGGTATTTAATTTGGGTAAACATAACCATCTTTTTTTTCAAAGTCAAACATTGTATGACAATATTCAAGGTTACATGACAGTACAAACCTCCCAAGGGTAAGAATTACACATGAATAATATAATGTAAGATTACAGTTTATATATATATATATATATATATATATATATATATATATATATATATATATATATATATATATATATATATATATATATATATATATATATATATATATATATATATATATATATATTCCTAGACTTATTTCAAAATACTATATACAGTCTTAAAATGATAAATGGTATACAGGGATATAATTCTCATGTAGTTACAGTTGCGGAAATGTTCCTACACCCTCTGTGGTAAGCCGTGTTTCCAAACGGCCAACCTATGTAACCTATAACAAACCTATCCACCAATTACATTCATTGTGACACAACCAATCCCCATTCATTCATAAATAGTGATACTTTGCCATTTGGAGACATGGGTTACACAAAGAGAGTAAGAACACATTTCTTCAACTGTATCATCACACTCGGATTCATACTGACGCTGTCCTGTACTGTATACTAAGGTTTGTTTATCCAAAATAGGAATCCACCTATGTTGGATGATAGCCCACTTGGGCACAGGTAATCATCCCACAATGAGGCTTGAGGGGCAAAAATATAAGAGTAAAAAACCAGTTTTTTGAAATGAGACATTGTAAGAGAATGGAAACAGAAGAGGGCAAAGTATTTCACAGTTTGGCTGTGTGAGAAAAGAAGTATGTACAGGAGGTCCTCGTTATAAGAGTGTTCACTATCCGCATAAAATCTGTGGATTTTTAGCTGAACCGTTTGAAATTTCATCCTCTTCCTGGCGTCAGGCATGCACACGCATGTCCCTATGTCAGTCTCTTGCTTTGTTTTGTCCAGAACAATGCTGTGTTGTGTTTACTCCTGCCTTTGTTGTGTCTTCGTGCATGTTGTGGTGAATTATTTTATCATTTTTGTTGCCATGAGTTCCCAACCTAAACAGGGTGGTGCAGCACTCAAAAGGAAGCACACTAGTTATAGTATAGATGCAAAATTACAAGTGATTAGGTGAAAGAAGAGTGGGAGTGGACACTCCACCTAGTCCTGTTTCTTTTTCATCCACCGACTAATCCTCCATCCCCTAACACCCACCTACATCAATCCAATCAAGCCCAACATCTTTACCTTTGAAGCTAAGTAAATAAAAATGTTTGATTATGTTAAAATTATTTATTTTTAAAACATTATATTAAGTATTTTGTCCCAGTGAACCACTGGAGTGAGTATTCACTGTAACGGTTGTTGTGGACCACCGGGTAGCTGGCACAACCTACGTTGCCTAAACACTCCAATGAACTTTAAGGATGTTAGATAACTTATAAAGTTAAATAATTTCTTAAAATAATGTGTCATCAAATGTTTCTAAGGTAAATATTTGTTAAAAGGTATCATAATTATTTTTTTTTTTAAGTGTCGTGCACAATGTCATGGTCCCAATTTGATCTATTTCCATTATTTCTTATGGGATTAATTCCCTGCTTTAAGTGGCTTCGTTAGCAGAGGCGTTTTTCCGGTTCCAATTAACCGCGGATAATGAGGACCCCCTGTACTATAATGGGTTATTCTAGTATGACTGACATCCACACAGAAACAGTGGGCACCACGGTCAAGACGAGTGTTACGAGCCCACGGCCTTGCTGGCTGTACACAGAATGCCAAATCCACCGAACATCTCCCATTAAAGTACAGTACAGTACCTGTAAAAGGGAGACTGAAATTACTTTGCAGCAAAGAGAAAGGGAAGGATATAATTGACTACAGGAGAAGAGTTAATAAGACAAAATGCCTTTGATTCCACCCTATCTAACAGTTGGGCAGAAGAAGAGCCACCCCAGATATGAGAGCAGTACTCCAAGTTAGGAGAAAGGAATCCCTTACAAACTTGAAGCAACTGCTCAGGTGTGAAGTAGCTACGGCAACTGTACAGCTTCCATGACATTAGAGGAAATGGTGAGGCCTAGCATATATATTTTGGAGTTTAACAAAATGGTTGCATCCTGAAATGTGATTGGCGGGAAATATTCTATTTTGGACAGCGTATTTGGTAAATGCTATGTTTTCATACTATTGAATTTGACAAAAAATTTCTACCTCCCCATTCTGGGTGCTGCACAGATCTGCAGTGATAGATGAAACTATATCAGTTCTAGACACAAGGCCAACTTGAGAAGTAGGGGAAAGGGAAAAATGAGAAGAATGAAGAGTAGAATCATCAGCATAAGAATGGATAGAATTAGTAGTAGGTGAGAGAACAAAACCCTGCAAAACTCCACAATTTGGTTGAGAAAGAGCAAAATGATCAATTCTTCGACAACAACTGTCATGGATCGGTTCTCAAGGAAGCTAGAAATGAGAGAACAGTCTGGAGGAGAGAAACCATAAGAAGAACATTCAGAAAGCAAAGACTTGTGCCATACCCTGTCAAAGGCTTTGGAGATGTCGAGGTTCAAGACAAAGGTCTCCCCATAATCCCTAAGAGAGGATGACCAGAGATGGGTGCAGTAGGAGAGCAGATCACCAGTAGATCTCGCCTGCCGGTAATCATACTGGTGAGCCGACAAAAGAGCAAGGCGTTCAAGGTGATGAAGAAAATAAGTTTAAAATAGTTACAAAAATCTTTGAGAGGGATGAAGTTAGGTGTGTATACCATATATCATACAAGACTATATATTTTAAAATAATTATAGGAATGTGTTCACTGGTTCACCTTATAATACTTAATACTTGAATATTGATGTTTTATGATAGAGGAAAATGGCTGCAGCTCAATCTTTACAAAAATGGTCTCAAAACTCAATAAAGTAATACTGTAACAAAGAAAGTACTTGATAATTAGTAGGTGCTTTACTCTATACAGTATCTAGCTGTGATTCTAACCTTATTTTACTATGTTACATTGTCAAATTGTTTTAATTGCTTAAACCATCAAATTTTAGTATTAATTTCTGTAATAAAATCATAAAATTAAATATATTAGTTTGTAATTATCCAACCCATATTAATTAGGGCACAGAGGAAGTTGGTGGTAGTATTATCATGATTACTGTACAGCAAAAATGGCAAGGCTTACCCTTTGTAGGATTTTTAGGTCCAACACACTTTCTCTAACATAATTGAAATTTAATGTGTTGAATGATATATACCAATGCTATGGTCGTGGTGTTATCCTGAAACATATCTTGTGAATTGGAGGGAAAGTGTGTGTGTGTGTGTGTGTGTGTGTGTGTCCTTCTGTTGGTCGATACGAGTATACCAAAGGTTTGTTAGGAAAGTTGTATATTTTAGATATATTATGACCGAGTTAGAGTGTATCTATCTACTGTATTTAATTTACAGGTACTTTAAAATAGATAAATATTACTTTATAGTTTTATTATATAGATTATATAGATAAATGGTATAAATAAGTAGTTTGTCGAAGATAAATATTTTAAAGCAGTGTTTGTGGTAATAACAACATCAACGTTCAGCCATTCACCACAACAACACATCAGCTGAGAGGACTGGTGACATTTCTTACATTTTATTTTATCTTCTTTGCCGCTGATTGGCTCGTTAGCTGCTTGGGCAGTCAGTCACGTCTTTGTTACTTAATATTGGCAAGCACTGGCTCCTGAATATATAGGACTACCAGGAGGCCCCCATGAGCCTACAGGGGCAAGGGGCCCCATGGGACT